ATTTTTAAAGCAAAATTATTTTTGTTAGAAACCAAAAAGGTTTAATTAAAAGCCAAAATATCGTTAGATAAAAGCTAAAATATAATGTTTTGAAGAAGCCAAAAATAGTGGTTTTTAAAAGCCAAAAAATATTGTTATTTTAGAGCCAAAAATCGTGTTTTTTCAGAAACCAAAAATTAATGGTTTTTACAAGCCAAAAAATAATGTTTTTACAAGCCAAAAAATATTGTTATTTAAGAAGCCAAAAATAGTGTTTTTTTCAGAATAAAAAAATTGTGGTTTTTAGAAAGCCAAAATATGTGTAATTTGAAAGCCAAATAAGATTTTGCATACTATATAATGTTAAGAAAATATATTATAAATAAATAATAAAACTGAAAGACGAGGTTGAAGTGAGATTGAAATGTCTCTCTTCATTCTTAAAATCTTTAATATCTTCTACCATATCTGGTCGGTACGAACAGTAAAGGTTTTGCATCATTGTTATAAACTAGCATCTCTTCTCGTAGATTGGGTAATTTCCTTTCATAGACCTTCCTTGCAAAACGTCTCCTCACTCTGATGTGCTTCTGCAGGTTCTTCTCCCAGTAGGGACTGTTTCCGTACACTACAGGGTAGTCGATCCCGGGGAGCAATGCCCATCTAGGAACATCTAAGGGTAATTGTTCGTATTTCTCATCCGACCAATTTTTTATCTCGACAAAAGATTCCAAAATGTCATCGTCCTGGGTCTCGGTGATCTCGTTATTCTTTTCCAAGATATTATCAGTTGGAGCCTTTTCTGGCACGTCGAAGTCAATGCCTCGAAGCCTCATCCAGTCCGGGATGTTGGTTAGAGGTGTCTGGGTCCATGGGTCATCAGCCCAAACTAAATCTTCACAAACATCCTCAATTCCATTGGCCTTAGGACCTGAAATACAGAAAACGCTTATTATAGATCACACAAAACACCGGATCCAACTCGCTATCAGATTGTGACAAGAAAGCAGTGGGCGGCCATTGATCTCGAGCTCAAGAATAAAAAACTGATTTTGTCAGTGAACACAGTTCATCTAGGAACTCAGCCGATTCACAAAATGCAAAATGGACAACTATTGGTTATAATATAATGTCGAGTAATGTTTAATTACTTTCACCTGATAAACTAATTTTCAAAGAAATAGCCCAGCCTTGTAACTTTATACAATCTACAGGGAACTGAACTGGACATTATAAGGTAATTCAGAAGCCAAAAATATCGTAATTGAAAAGTAAAAAGTATTGTAATAATGACAGTTTATTGCAAAGGCTTTTATAAGTATAGTGAAATTACCTTTTGTGTTGGCCCATTCTGGTACTACGACATCATCACAGCGTGTCACGGGTTCACCAGTCGAGTTGTTGCTGACCAGTTCACCAACATTATTACACTCAACTTGGTTGTTGTTGTTTTCGTCACCTGAAAGAAGAGAATATATTTGCATAAATTAGAGTTTTACGCTTCGTATTTTGACATACAGCTTCGCAGTTAATATGAAATTATTTAAAAAAATTTTTTTTAAAATATTGTAAGGTGTTCTTAGGCTATAAGATCTATACCCCCTCTACCTAAAATAGAAAAGAAATACATTATGAAACAGTGGAAAACTTACCGTTAATGGTAGATGTTGGGTCTTCATAATGAATCTTTGATAGATAATTCAAAACAACTTCATCCACCGAGCGACTTATAACTGGTAATCTGAAATGTACAAAAAGGCCGAAATTAAAATTTGAACTGTCGCTTATAATTTTCTAAAGAAATATTTAACCAATTTGAACTACTTTGTACAGTGAAGTATATAGAAGTGGTGGGTGTCGTGTGCAAAGCAGACCATGCTTACTCTTTTCGATACGCTTATGGTACTTCTACACTTACTACATTTTGCCATACTGTGGACAATTAACCGAATTGTCTTGCCTGCACGGATTTTTTTCCAATTGAAATTGGTTTCAAAATGGGAAAAAGTTTGATAATCTGGAATAAGTCGTACTTCCTCATTTATTTTGGCGGAATATTGGTTTTATTGGTTAAGATCAATGTCAAGAGGTTTTAGAAACGATCAGCTCAGAATCTTAAGAAGCAAAATTATAATCCTTGTAAGAATGGTTGTTCTGGCAGATTTATAGTTCCCCAAAGTTGTCTAGACTTTTTAAAAGATCAAAAGTAAAAAGTTAATTTTCCTTATAGATGAAAAAGAACTAGGTCGTACACTTTTCAAAAAGAAAAAAGATATTCTAAAATTTTAGTTTGCCATTTTCTTATTTTATCCGGTTTATATAAAGCTGAAAAACAAGTGCCTGAAACATTAGAACCGTTGGAATAGAATACTCACAAGATAGTCATTGTTATAGTTTCCTGTAGAAAGAATTCCACAAAAATTTCCAAGAGCGATTTAATATGCGTCTTTCGTCTTGAAAAATCCAAAAGCTAATGACTTTTAGACCAATTTGACGTTATGTTCATTATGACGTCATAATGGATATAAGTGAACAGAAAACAATGGAGTTCCCTCAGAAACTAGCCCCACCCCATGGTTTTTTTTTTTACTTCTTTGTTCGCAATTTTATATCTCAAACAAGCCAAATTTAAATCAATTTTGTAAAGGATTTTTATCTGAATAATCCAAGATAGGACCTACAGTCTTGAGTTATTGTGAAGACAAAGTCAGACTTGACTAATGAACCACTTCGGCCTACTATTTTCTGTGAGCGATATCTTCATAGCTTTTTGATAGCTTTGATGCAGATACGTATTGCAACTTTTTGCTATTTTATACATTGTTTAGAACATTAAAGACCTTTTTGTCGTAATTTTCGTTATTAAAAACATCAGGGATACGATTTTAATATAAATTTTCAAAATATTTTATCAAACTTTTGATTGGATTGGTAAATTTTTCGAGGCCATTTTTCGAGATCGCTTGACAAGTGGAAATCGTTTGCACCGAATGTCAATTTCCTATAAAAATTCCCCTCATTCCTCACTGCATGACATTTATTAGCCCAATGAGATGCGAAACAGTTTATCGTTAAATTCAATTCCATTTGGATGAAAATTGTCCGCATGATTTTCTTGCTAGACTTGTTGCTCTTTTAAGAAAATAAACCTTGTATTGTTTAGAAGAGACCATACACAAAAACTAAGATTCAATGCTGGAATCACTAATGTTTAGAGGATGTTTGACTTCTAGATCACACTTTTCATAACGAATCAGATTATAAAGTGGCTTGTAAATCGAGGTATTCGACTGGTGCTATAACCATTCTAGACGTTGGTTACCAATAAACAATACTTACAAAATTGTCATCTTTTTCTTTTCCAAATCTTCAAAAATTACAACGAAATCTGAGTTTTTCCTCTATAAATTGCAACGTGACTTTTCAGTAGAAATCTGCACAATGCTCTATATGACGTTTAAGCTTGTAACGTCATAATCAAAATTATACTTTCCGGTTTACTATTTGGGACATACCCACAGTCAATTTTGTATTAGCCTGACATTGTGAAGATGAAGTTCGTAATAGCTTGACATTGTTAAGAAGTTCGTAATAGCTTGATATTGTGAAGATGTAGTTTGTAATAGCTTGACATTGTGAAGATGAAGTTCGTAATAACTTGACATTGTGAAGAAGTTCGTAATAGCTTGATATTGTGAAGATGTAGTTTGTAATAGCTTGACATTGTGAAGATGAAATTGACATTGTGAAGATGAAGTTAGTAATAGCTTGATATTGTGAAGATGAAGTTTGTAATAGCTTGACATTGTGAAGATGAAGTTCGTAATAGCTTGACATTGTGAAGATGAAGTTTGTAATAGCTTGACATTGTGAAGAAGTTCGTAATAGCTTGATGAAGAATACAATATTTTACTGTTATTCTAATTCTATGGTGAATAGGGGTAAAATGATGGTAAAAGACTTAGAAGAGAAGATCGCTTCCAGTAAACGGAATGGTAAATTACCAATCTTAGTCAACTGTATGGCTGGCACCACGGTTCTGGGAGTCTACGACCCTTTAGAAGAAATCGCAGACGTCTGTAAGAGAAATTCCATTTGGTTACATGTAGACGTAAGTATCGTTTAATTGAGTCTTTATATGAGATTTAACAATTTTGTAAGTAAGTACGGTATAATATTTGCCTGATGACGACGAAACGTTGCATAAAACTTTAACCAGTGATCGTTGAGCAAGAACACATGTTTAGTGTGTAAGTATACATTATTTCATTGTAAAAATACAATAATTTGAAAACTATTCTTTCAAATTGCATAAATTGCAGGATTCAAGCCCTTTATTTTCCAAATCATCCACCCTGGTCCTTCTTAGAATGGACTTGAAGAACAATTTGGCGGTCACTGAAAAAGTTATACGCATATCTTGCAAATATCAATTTGGTTTTTGTTTCAGGGCGCATGGGGTGGTTCAGTTCTATTGTCACGTGATCACAGACATCTACTCAATGGTGTAGAAAGGTGAGTTTTTTAAACTCGAAAGTTGACTTGATGTAAAAACCTCTAATAACCAATAGCTTTTATATAGTGAGACATAGTGCCCAACCCTATCCGTATCTCTTAAATAAACTACACTCTAATTTACAACATGGTAGCTTTAATTATAAATATTTGGAAAGGCGTTGTGCATCCTTCATACCTCGACAGTTGGAAATCGATAAAGAGTAGTTTCCCTCATTGGGTGTTGTGTGTTGTGCCCCTACTGAAGCACCAATCTGATAAAGTTTACCACATTTGATTTTTGTTTAATAATTTTATTATACTCTAATAATATGTTAAAAAACGTCTAGTCGTTCGTGTGGGATGATTAACAAAGACCCCTGTGTGCCGAAGACTGTCCTGGCAAAAGTTCTATCATTTCATACTGTTAGTTGTAAGCCAAACTGAAGCTTTAATGTATGACGTCTAAGTCCGTTTCATTTCATTTTAATTATAAAATAATTCCACTATGTTTCAGGGCTGACTCAATGACGTGGAATCCACATAAAATGATGGGAGTACCGTTACAATGTTCTGTTATACTTACTAAACATAAGGTAGGTAGATAATAGATTTCAAGCTAGATTAATTACGACGGTATCACAGAAGAACGGTATGAAGAACGGTATGAAGAACGGTATGAAGAACAGTGCACCGGCTCGTTGGAAGGAAATAAAAGAGAGAGGTTTTGGAGCTTCGCGAGACACTTTAGTAACAATCTATGAGGGTGAACCTGTACTAGGGTATGGTTTTGTCTTCTCAGTAAATAGTAGAGAAAGCATATTTAGGCTCTCTCGGGTCCTTCAATACCCAAGCAGTCCACTTTATATTAGCTCGATAATAGTCTGAAAATCGTTGACGCAAATGCTTATGCAAATGCAAAAGGGTTATCTCAGGAAGTAAATCGCGAAAACATATAAAATATCCATTTTATTTTCAGAAACTGTTAGCAGAAGCGAACCAGAGTAATGCCGACTATTTATTCCAGAAGGATAAGAACTATGACGTCACGTATGATACGGGAGATAAAACTATACAATGTGGACGACATAATGATATTTTTAAATTGTGGTTAATGTGGCGAGCCAAGGTACGAGAATCTTCACAATGTCAAGCTATAAAGAACTTCATCTGGTACCTTGACTGCAATAGCCATCTTTCTTGTATCACGGAATTCGGCGATTCGGCGTAACGCCAGCTAATACAGCCAATCAGAGACTTTGGCAGAAAAGCTTTAAACATTATGGTTTTCTGACCTCTGAACGGCTGTATTCGCAACCGTATAATCCAATCAAATCGTTTCATTTATAGACTTAGTGATACAAGAAAAACGGCTATTGTAGTCAAGGTATAAGTACGAAGTTTGTAATAGCTAGACATCGTGAAGATGAGGTAGTTTATGATATAAGAAGATTAACTCTGTCTCTGCCTCATACTCAATTTCTTTTTATTGACACTGTAGTTCTTGTTAAGAATATATTAAACCTCTACAAAAGGGGTGTCTTTAATCTTTCGACACACTAAGGCATCTACGTGATCTTTTTGAATTGAAATATAGTGTACGTCTTCAGGAAACTGGTATCTGCAATAAACTGTTGGATTCTACGTGCTATTAAAGATTAGTTGGTGTAAGTGTATAATCTTATCAAATACTCAATACGAGCTACGTCAACTCTTCTTAAGCGATGCCGATTATAAACCCATCCCTGGAGTGGCACATAGTGATCTGGAAAGGTGAGAATGACCTGCCTTGCTAACAACACCCGTCACAGTGCTTATCCTAGTGAAGCTCAAATTCAGTCCTGTCCTAGAGTGGTATTAGATGTTAAATTTCCTTTTTCAGGGCGATCAGGGATTTGAAGAACAGATCAGCAAAAATTTTGAACTAGCGCAGTAAGTGCTTCATTTTCTTGTGTACTTGTGTTGGTTATATGTGTTTGAACTATTCTTTAAGTATTAATTGCTGTCATTTTCAAATGTACATATTCACTTAATGTACAAGACAATGTACAGTATTATTGGCGATAATCGTACAAAATGTTCTTTCTTTATTGTTTTAATATAGCAATTAATGTACTTAACACTGGACTTGCTCATCATGATACTTTTTGTATTGTTCTAGGTACACATTAGAAAAAGTACAAAATCGAGATGGTTTTCATGTTATATTGGATAAGGTATGTTTATATTTTAATACTTTTTATTTGAAGATCTTGTAATGTTTAACACAATTTATAAGGTTATAAGAGTTTAAGACTTACAAGTTAAAGAATGACGCACGCAGTCTTGTCCATTGCCCATCAGTCTGTCTGCTGATAAAACCGTCAGGAATTTAGTAGGTCGTTTTCTCTTCGACATCTAGTCAATCTTAAAGCTGAAGTTTAGGCCTGCCAAAATCACGAGGGGCATACCTGTGTGCTTTTCGAAAACATCGCGGTGATATTTGATTGTCTTCAGATTTTGTTTTTCGTTCTAGTTAGAAGCTCCTAATGTCTGTTTCTGGTACTTACCACTAAAATGGCGCCAACAATCTCCGTCTGATATTAATGCCAAGGAACTCAACAAGGTAAGTATTCAGACGAATATATTCTGGATATGAAGAACAGCAGACGACTCGCAGAGCGAAATTGTTTTTGATCCACCTTCATGGATCAGGACTTCCCGTAACCATTTAATTGTTTGGAGGGGCAAGTACTATATCCGGTGGGGCAAGTAATATATGCGGTGGGGCAAGTAATATAACCGGTAAAATAAGTAATATATCCGAAGGTGCAATTGTGTATGGTGTATCTTTTCGCCCATTAGAAAAGTGTTCAATAAGTATTCTGAAAATCAGAAATATTTTGTCTCTTTCAGATAGCACCGCAGATCAAAGCTCAAATGATGGAATCGGGAACAATGTTGGTCCAATATCAGCCTCTGGGAGATCTTCCCAACTTTTTCCGGGTGGCCATCTCCAACCCTGTTATTACCACGAGAGATATAGATTTTATGATTGATGAAATAGACTGTATTGGACGGGATCTGTAACATATTACCTGACAGGTGCGCTGAGTTAACGGGATATATAAATAAATGTTGTAGCAGCTGATAGAGCTCAATTCCAGTTATCTGTAGAAGCGAAATTCTTAATGTTCATAAATGACTTTGTTACATTCAGAAACGGATTTTGGATTTTAATTCTGAAAAGTAATATAGATAGCTGAATAATATGTACATTATGGACTAGATCAATGCCAGGTCCGCAGCCAGACTTGATTGTTTGGGGCAAGTTATATATCGTGAGGGGTGTAAGGTGTTTAGTTGCAGTAATGAAATTGTTCGGTTGTAAGAATTTTTTAAGGGGAGCAATCCATATATTCGGAAGGCATTGCCCCCTTGTCCCTATGTAGCTACGGGCATGGAAAAGGCATCAACATCCACCCCTTAAAGGATTAGAAATGTCTATCGATGTTTTTTGTTACCAGATTTTGTTAGTTAACTTGTTTGTTACATACCTATATATTTAATTGTTGAGTAAAGGGATATAACCGTCTAAAAATCGCTTTATCATCCTAAACGTCTCGGTGCAGCCAAGGTAAAACCTTTTGTAACATTCGACAATCATCGGCAGTTTCCACAAAGCTTAGTCCGTTGCAGAGAGCTCTCGCAGTAGGCCGTTTGATTTTACAATGTAAAAATTGTAGCCAAACGCGTCCATTTGATAAAAAAAAGAACAGACACATTAAAGATTAAAGCCACGACAGTTACATTTGTTTTGAGAAGTTCGACTGTTAGCTACAACAAGAACTGAGTACCATGTTGTGTTTTGCAAATATAGCCTAAGTGTTCTTTATGTAATGTCGATTCAAGATAAAATTTACATTTCTCAATATTATGATTTAGTCGACTATATCCCTTTCAGTTTGTAGATGCTCATATCGTTAAAGTTTATGGTTGTGATAAAAAATAGAAGTTATATTCATATACACATTGATATCATTAATATAACATAGTACATGTAATTATTATACATTCCCTGTTGGAATTACTAATAGATTGATCCGTTATTATTATAATTATAAGTTATTTTAAAGCTACCATGTGCAATAAATAAAAAAAGAGACTAATTCCTAAATTGAACATACATGTATATTAGTTCGAAACATTTGCCTCTATTCCAGCCTATTGTGAAAGTTGTCGGCTGGAGTAGAGTCAGAAAATCTAGGCCCTGTTTTATGGTGTTTTTAAAATTTCCGAAGATGCGGAAATTATCCATTTAACAGGGCCTTTTTTTTTCTGTCTTTACACCAGCTGACAACTTTCAAAATAGCTATCAGAGGCTGGAATAGAGGCAGATGTTTCAGTCTAACATGTGTATGTACATCCAATATTGTATCTAATTACACGGTCCTGTTATAGCTTGCTGCTAACTACAACAGATCGATGTCAAAAAAGTAAAATTGATTGAAAATTGCAATGGGTTTAAACATGGAGAATATTAAAACAGAACCTCAAACACGTTGTTATTCAAATTATCATACTGTGTAATCTTAAACAAAAGTTATATTTTTTTCTGTGTTCAGCGCCGATTGCATCAACAATTATTATTTGTTATCCAGAAATAGTTGTCTATAAAATTGTTATTGTTATTTTAGAGATAATAAAAGCTGTTTTAGTTTGTTATTTTTTATCCATTGATGGTGGACAGCTGGACAGACAGTTACCATAAACCCAACAGAGATGACGTGTGTTTCCATGGTGATAATATCACAATTTTTTGTTGAGAACATCAGACTCTTTGAAGGGATCGAAAATACTCTAGTGTGCACCAGCTCTATACAAACAGGGAGGTTAAGCTGTCAAGAAAAACGGAACGCAGCTTCTTCAGTCAAGAGGTTTTCTAAAAGGTTATGTGTATACACCATTCCCATTTTCAATCAACATCTGTGGTTGCTGCAATGCGACTAGCTGTGTACAGGATTAACAAGGATTAACCACAATATTCAGGGCCAATTACAAGAATACCGGCCTTCGACACTAGTGTAAATTGTAAATTTTAATGAATAACTTGAGATGTATTTACAATAAGAAGAAAATATAATAATACAAATATTTACAATTACTGTTGAAAAATAAATTAACATTCATATATTTATATATATATACAGAAAGTATAAGACATCATCACAGGAAACTGATTCTGGATGAAAATAGAAAATATATACAGTTCACTAATATAAACATAACATCTCAACACATCAAGTAATTTGTCCAGAGGTATTGTTTTAATAGTGACCAGTAAATTTGATTTTATCAGCCAGAATCCAGTATCTGTGGACATGATAGAGAAATTCAGACCAATTCAACATTTTTACAACTGGTTTGCTTGATTCTCAGATTCCTCAAGTACAAACAATATTTTTGGGGGTTTTTGATTTAGAGTCAAATCATCAATTTCCTTACATTAAAAAATAAATATTCATAATATGCAGCTAAAGCCGTAAGTACTTAAATAATTTTGTGATTGGTACCTTATTGGAAAAGGTGAACTACTAAACAAGTCTTGGGGTCTGTAGCCAATGGTAACGTGACACTGAATCCCCTAAAGTGTAAAAGAGAGCATATTTGTTTGTTCTCAGTTACAAATTAAATGGAATTAAGGATATTTCATGATTTAAAAGAACCCAAATATATAATTGTTACTTATGGAACCTACTGGCAAGCCATTTCAAGTTGTAAAAATATAGAATAAGTCTCAATATTCCCTTACAGCTATCATCTCATGGACTACCAGTCTACAAAATACATGATATTACAAATAACAACAATGGACGGACAGATAGAAAACAAATAATGACATCTATTCCGGAAAAAACATTTTAAATTAGGTCTATAAAATAACCGAAATTTTTAATTATTCTAAAAAAAAATATAGTACATTATTTTATGGTATAATATAGTAAATTAATGTTGTAATTTGATGTTGTTTCTACACTTCAAATGTTGCTTCAGGATTACGTCTTTTAATAATATCTTAACTCTGTCAACACTAAATACCAGTCTATTTGCTACAAATTTACATCATATATACCCTAATTTGTCTATATCAAGCAGTCAGTGGTGTATTGAGGTGGTGTTATTTAGGGTAAATGTGATCTGAATTTTTTTGAGAATCCTACAAACTCTACTAATTTGTAATAACAATTGAAAAAAAAATTATCACAATAAAATACACAAGCTCTAACTAAACAACTTATTGGACGGAATGTAACAACAAATATAATCAACAACAACATGGAGGAATCATTGTGGAAAAAAAAAATAGGATAGATAATATTCAGGTAGGTAGGAATGTTCAATAAAAGATATTTTCACAAAGTCTGCAGACTTCTATAATTCACATTGAAATGTCTTCACAAAAACAAAACTTAAACAATGCATGTGCATTGAAATCTAGGTCACTAAAGAGGAGGTGGTGGGGGGCATGAGAACTGACTCAAAGTCTATTAATACTATATTTTGAATGCCTAATGAAAGAAAATTTCCACAAAATCAGTGCTTCTAAAAGCAACAATAGAATTCTATAATTCACAAATAAATTTCTTCATAAAAACAGTGTGTTGCACCACAAATAAGTAGGTGACAAGATGCACGTGCATTTATTAAATCTAGGTCACTTAAGTAGGTCATGTAAACTGTACATTTTTCTATCTCTGCTATTTGACACAATTTACAATTGTTTACAATTCTTTACATTTATATCAAACGGATTCAATAGAGGGTTTTAGGTTGGAAAACTTCTTCTAAATCCCTTTTATTCATGAGGACAACTGTATCTGCATAAGTATCACATTTAATATTTTTGGATTTGAAAAGTTTAAAATTTTTAGGATCATGATCTAGCGATACTTTTTAACATTTTTTCTATTTTCTGATCATTTTTAATAATATTTGATTTAACAGTAGCACTTGCATCTAGTTGATCTCGTATGGCCTGGTCTAATTCATCTAATTGAGCTTGTAATGGTTCAATAGCACGATCTGTGACACTGAAAATATATCACACAGTAAATATACAGGCCACATATTCTCGTAACGATCTTACGCTAGGATGTCCTAGAATCAATGTTAGAAGATAAGAACCTAGGACATCCTAGAATCTATGTTAGAAGATAAGAACCTAGGACATCCTAGAATCAATGTTAGAAGATAAGAACCTAGGACATCCTAGAATCAATGTTAGAAGATAAGAACCTAGGACATCCTAGAATCAATGTTAGAAGATAAGAACCTAGGACATCCTAGAATCTATGTTAGAAGATAAGAACCTAGGACATCCTAAAATCTATGTTAGAAGATAAGAACCTAGGACATCCTAACGTTAAGTTCGTTAAGCCCAGATTAACAAAACTATGCTAACTGTCTTTCATAACCCAAGTGTAATAATAATGTTAATAACCGACAGAGCGTAACTTCTTGTAAGGGTCTCATTCCATGTCCACTTTATTGACAATGGCAATGCAGTTGGAATATGTATATGTCCTTATAATTATATTCTTTACCTCTGGTGCATTAGAAATATCGGATTATATACTTAAATAAGACAGGAATATATCATTATTATATTCCTGATGACGGTGTGAGAGCCACATTGAAACGTAATAAATATTCTAGAAGTATCTATCCATAAATTGTCTTATTTATTTATAACCTGTGCTTCTAATATGCCTTTGAAAGAGCATTATATACTGTTTTCATCTCCAAATAAAAGAGTGAACCTCTTAGTAAACGTCTTAGTCTCATGAGTTGTTAATGATAATGTCAGTTGTAAAGTTGCATTAAAATTTTGACTTCTTATTCATAGGCATGATGTATCCTAAGCTTGCTTATTTTGAAGGAGACAAGTCCTCTGTTCCCTGATATTTAATACACTCTTACCTTTTTTCTCTTTTTAATTCTAAAGCATGTTCTTTATTTTCACCTTTCCATTTTTCTAATTCTTTCTGCATAGAATCTAAATCTTCTTGTACATAGTCCATAATTTTACCGAGGGGGTTGGCGCTGCGGGTTAGACTCTGTATGCTGGAACGTAATTTATCTATTTCTTTCTTCACTTGTTCTCTTTGTTTTCTTCTGGTTGCATCATTCATAGCTGACCTCTCCTATAATGCCCATTAATGAAGCTGATTCTCGAAATATTTCTTACATTGAGGGGGGGGGGGGGGGGGGGGTCATATGACTCTGTCAGGAGGAAATTGCCACCAAGTGAGGTATTTGACCCTAAAGCAACTTTCTGATGCACTGATTTGCATACAGAATTAGTCAGTAGCAG